GGATCCGGTTCATAACCCGAGGCGGAGTTTGCAAACCGAGGTAAATTTTTGCAGCCGGAGCTGGTCGTAACCCAAAAAGTTCGTTAACAGAGGCGTTTGTAACCCGAGGTACCACTGTATAGACCTGTTCCTGCTATTCTATAATAAGTTCAATTGGATAGAGAACAGTCATACTATCACCCCCAAAAAGAGGCTGCCAGTTGACTAAACAGACCTAGAGTAAGATTCTGAATTTTCTACAACTTATACATACTGATACGACAATAGGGCTTCTGGAAAATAGGTTCTGGGCTCCTTGGACACTTGTGACGTTCCTTTCTTCTTCTTCTTCTCCTTCTTCTTTTCCTTTGCCATGGTTTATGTCTTTATGAAGTCAACCAGATCTAGAGGGAAAGAAAGATAACAAATTTAAGCAGGTTTCTGAGAAATATGTTCCACTAGGTTCATCAATACTGATTCCTGGGGATGTGGGTATAGGACTCCAGCCTAAATAATCATTTATTTACCTAGCTTTCCTTGTTATCTTTACAAAAGTTCTAGGAGAAAGGTTTCTTTATAAAATCAAAAGCTAAATTTTGGAAAACAAATCTCTAACAGGTGCCAAATTTAATTGTTACAGCTTTAGTTGAATAAACATTTGCAACCCATTTTAATTAGAGGGGTTGGGTGAAAGACACGTTTGTCAGTATGGTTCTGGTATGCTAATATCGATAAAGAATGAAAAAAATTATATAGTTTACACTGTTTTAATGTAAAACAGGTTTTTATATAACTTCAAAACACCCAGATTTCCCCCCACTAATGCATTCCTTCCATCACTAAAATGGAAGAAGATGTCAAGCTGTTTAAGATCTAAAATGGTTGAAGTCTGGGATAAAAAAACAGGAAGTAAATTCATAATTCTGGTTTGTTGTGTACGTGAGAAGAGCTGCATCTTTCAAAATCTCTCCGCTTTCTTTTTCTCAACCCTTAAGAAGCCCGTGTAATGATTTCACAGTGCTCTGGCTTTCCAGTTAGACAACACACAACTCGGTTATACTTTCCTGTTCTTTATTTGTGCTAGAGGGCAGATCAAAACTCAAACACAAACCCTGTTTCTGTAACTGAGATACCTCCCCATAAAGAAATATTTTTCCAATTGAAAATTATCATAGAAGAGACTATCTGTAGCTCAGGGCTGAACTGTGAAGTCCT